CTGTGGTTTCCTCATAAAACACAATTTGGACTCAGTCGCAGAATTTGACAGCAATCGTAACTATGCAAGGTGGGAATGGATATCATCACTGATGTCACTCGATTTGCAATTTGCTTTGGGAAGGTTGGTATACATTCAGAAACAACTGGCAAAGATACACTAAGTTTTTACAAGTTACGGTTGGACTGACTTCTTAAACATTTTTCTCCGCAAGGTATGCAAAGTTATATCTGTCAACAACAAATATATATCAACTCGGCAAATAAATCAATTGAATGTTAAATTTAGAGACAGTAGGAACTGCAGATGCTGGAGAATCTGAGATAACAATGAAGAAGGGTCTCGGCCCGAAACGTCAGCCTTCCTGCTCCTCTGATGCTGCTTGGCCTGCTGTGTTCATCCAGCTCTACAGAATGTTAAATTTAGTTCTTTTCATCTTTGTTCAATTCAAACCAGATTGTTGCTTTTTTCAAATTAAAGTGTACAAGTGCTTTTTAAGAATAGTTTTTCAATTTTGTTCGTCAAAATGATGCAAGGAATTACTATGGTTGGTTCAAGAAACACTAAAAGGATTAAAACTTTTAATGATGTCAAAATCATGGAAAACAATAGAAGAGAACCAGGTATCATGCTTAATGTGATGACCTTTGATCATTTTGTTTTATGGCTTCTTCATCCGATGATGTATTTTATTACAAGTTCTGAGGAAGGGTCATTTGACCCACAGCATTAACTCAGATTTCTCTCCACTGATGTTGCCAGGCCTGCTGAACTTTTCCAGTAATTTCTGTTTTTGTTTTTGGTTTACAGCATCCACAGCTTTTTTTTCAGTTTTTATTTTATTCTGAGCCCTGCTTCTATCCATTGCTCTTGATTTTTCTTTTTGAAACTGGAATTTTCTCCTATTCTGTGTTGCAACGGTTCATTAACAAGGCATAGGTAGCCATTATTCCCAGTTAAGCACTGATTATGTGGTGTCTTTCTGACTGAATGAAGCCTCAGTCCCCTCCTCACTTGATCTTTAGGTACATGTGTTTTTCAACACAGTCCTCTGGATCAAGTTGTCAATCTTCCTCAGTTGGTAAAAGTCCCACATGAGATGGGAAAGATTGTGCTTGACCAAATAGCCCATGTGCACACGGCAATGCAGAACAGTAGGAGTGCTCTGTTATGTGCTGCCTTCCAAGTGATAATTTAACCCCACATCTACATACCTGCTCAGGTGAACATTAAGTTTGAAGAAATCAAGGAGTTCTTCCAGTGCTCAAATTTGCCTCACCAAAAACAGAACATCTGTAAACATACTTTGTTTCTCTGGGGCATTGCTACTCATAATTTTTGCAATGCTTACCTACAGAAACTACCCTTGATTCTCCCAGGTTGTGAGACACACAACACTGCAATATTAACAGATGCACTCAATTCTGAGAATGCTATTGCACAACTTTCTGACTCAAGTGGGAATTCAACTTCTGGACTCAGAGACAAGAGCGTTAAGCAAACAGATTTTGTAGACATTGTGAAGCATTTTCGGGACAGACATTGCAATCGCTCAATCAACCTAAACCAAATATGAGAGTCAAAATATGATATAAACCATCAGATTATATTCTCAGCTTTCTCTGCAATACAATGTTGAACTTGGGTTTTCAGAAGACTTGGGGTGGCTGGATAATCTAAGATCTTTATTTTTCTCAGAAATCATAAAATACCAGAAATGCAGACTGTGAAATTGACAACATGTTGGATGCAAACCTTAGGCTGCATGTCACAACACTGTCTCTCTGCAAGATATATCAGAATCCTTAACCCTGTTTAAAGGGTTTTGGTCATTAAACTATGATCAATTGTTACACATAACAATAATTTATCTTTAGACTGATTGTCCAAAAAAATTTCAGTAAGAGGAAGTTATATACAAATTATGTGCATAAAATCGATGTCAGTCATTTACAGCAGCATTATCCCAGCCAAAGAAACCTTTCTAATCAACCTGATTGGACACAATCTTCAGGGACAACAGCAGAAATTTGTGGAAAAAAGTCACTAGATCTGGCAGCATCTGTGGAGAGAAAGCAGAGTTGACATTTCGGGTCCACAACTTTGAGGGAGATGTGATTTGAATGTAAACCCTCTGGCTGAGTGGTCAGGACACTAGCACTGCACTGCAAGAACTCCATCTGGTTTCTAGACATGACCAACAGGGAAATTGCCCAATCATTTGGCTGAGCAGAATAGTATCACCACAAGCACTTGTTAAAACACACTTCCAGATTCACTATCACCAATTTACGCTACTGAATTGACAAAATAAACTTGTGAAATTTCACTCGAAAATTGGGAAATACCAGCAATCCAAATGAAAGTTATTATTTTAATTACCACTGGCTAAGTTTCTTCCCTTCTTAAGCTCTGCCACCTTAAATCCTTCTTTCCCACATTCAAATGACCCAAAACTGTCTTATTTTTAGTTAAATAAAACAAAGAACTGCGGATGCTGGTGGTCTGAAACAAAAACAGAAGCTGCTGGTAAGACTCAGTGGGTCTGGCAGCATTTGAGGAGAGAAAGCAGAGTTAAGTTTTTGAGCCTGGTGACTCTTCATTGGAAATGTTAGCAGCTGGAAAAAAAAAGGTAGTTATGCTAAAAACGAGTTTGGGGGCAGTATTGGGGAGGGGCAGGAATGGGAGACATGAGTAGATATGTAGAGATGGAGACCAGAGAGAGAGAGAGAAAGATGCAAAAGAGTTAGGTAACCAAAGAGATTATGGCTAGCAGGCCAGGATAAATAAAAAGCTGAATAAGTAGTAATAATAACTAAGAGTAGGAGAGCATTAGAGAGGGGCTGTCTTGTGGCAGAGTGGTAGTGCACCTACCTCAGAGCCAGAAGACCTATGTTCAAATCCCACCTGCTCCAGAGATTGTCCTAACAATTCTGAACAGGTTAATTAGGAAATATTCTAGAAGAGAATGGGTAAGTTGTACTGAAAGCAATCTGTTTCATAACAGGACCAGGTGTGGGGGTGGGTAAAAAACATGGAAGGATGGAATCAGAACCCAAAGTTATGAACTCAGTGTTGAGTTTTAGAGTCTACAGGATCCCCAAGTGGAAAATGAGATGTTGTTCTTAGAACTTGCTCTCTCTCTCTCTCTCTCTCTCTGGGCTCCAGATCCACCTATCTGCTCACCTCTTCCATTCTCTCCTTCCTGTCCATCCTCCCTGCGTCTACCCTGTCTAGTCCTGTTACAGACTTATAAAATTCTAACAGGGCTAGACAGGGTAGATGCAGGGAGGATGTTCCTGATGGTGGGTGTGTCCAGAACCAGGGGTCACAGTCTGAGGATTCAGGGTAGACTATTTAGGATGAGGAGAATGAAGAGGCATTTCTTCACCCAAAGAGTGGTGAGCCTGTGGAATTCATTACCACAGGAAGTGGTTGATGCCAAAACATTGAATGTATTTAAGAGGTCACTGGATATAACACTTGGGGTGAATGGGACTAAAGGTTATGGGGAGAAAGCAGGATTAGGCTATTGAGTTGGACATTCAGCCATGATCGTGATGAATGGTGGAGCAGGCTCGAAGGGCTGAATGGCCTCATCCTGCTCCTATCTTCTATGTTTCTATGTCCCATCTTCAGCACAAAAAGCACTTTTTTCCTAGCGGCTAACAATTCTGATATAGAGTCACTGGACTTGAAATATTACCTCTCTTCACTTTCTTCGCCCAGATGCTGCCAGACCTCCTGAGTTTTGCTAGCAATTTCTGTTTTGGTTCTTATTTCTAGCTACTTTTCCTGATTCTTGTTCAAATCCTTTCTTCATATCCAAATTCAATACATTTCCCATCTTTCTTTGAAATGCTTTGAAACATTTTGCTATGTTAAAATTGTTGTGTAAATGCGCATTGTTGCTGAAGAGAGGTGTGAAATGTATCAGTACACTCAATCCAAGGAACAAGTGGGGACAGCCTGGATATTCAAATCTGTGAACTAAAGCAATATATTAAGAGTATAGTGACTGCCAACATTTCCCATCTGAAATCGTTTCTCACTTATAGTCATCTACGTGCATAAATAAAGGGAAATCCTTGGTCAAAGAATCAGGTGCTGCTGTTTTTCAATGTTTTTGAGAACAGCTAAAGGAAAGAAACATCTCGTTGAAGCTTTTTGTCTTGCATTCATCAGGACATTCACAAGAATATACATGTGAAAGGGAGTAACTTTTTTACTGTATGAGAGAGGAGAGTGTTGGTTGATTGGTAAATGGACTCTGATTGGTAGAGACATTACCAGCAGTTAGATGCTGATTGTCCATAGCTGCCCAAGAGCTTTTGTAAAACATGTGTTTTGTTACAGCAATGATCAAGTTTTGTATTACCAAATTTCAATTTATTTTGTTTCCTATAAACCAACTGTTATATTGGATAATGGTTATGAAGGGGTTAATGTTGATGTTACATTAACTCCACCAATTCCATTAATGTCACAAACAGTCTGCGTGCCAACAACAAGGAGTTCTACTCTAGATTTTGGAGGGAGTAGATGTCTGTGTACCATCTCCCTAAATTCCTACTAATTATGCCTGATTAAATGTAGCTGCACTTATTACTGTCATGCATTAAACATACTTATTATCTAAGGACAGAGCCTGTTTGTAGATGCTGTACAGTGGTGTATCCTTCACAACTAATCATTAGGTAGTCCCAAAACAAAGGAGGATTGGCAGCACCTGAAACAATCCTGACCCTGTACTACATGCTGGTAGAGTTGGCAAATGCTACAAGGTGCATCAGTTCTTGACTGAGAAAATACCACTCCAACTCCTTTCTACTGGTGACAATAACAACACAAAATGAGCTGGTTTAAGAGGTAGTAAATGTATCCAAGAAATAAGCACACTAAAAAATATCACAGGGCGAATGACCTTGATCCGGAAGAAAACAGCATGACCAATAGTTGGGGTAAGAGCTCCCTCTACTGTTCTGTATAGAAATGGCAACTGTTCACTTTCTCGTGGCAAATTGATTGTATTCTCAACACTTGTTCATCATGGGGAATATTCCTTCTGTGTGCCATGTAAACAAATTGCTAAGTACATTCTTAACAGAGGTAATTATATTTTTTATTGCATTTGCATGGATTAAGAAAGATCATTTTCTGTATCCCACTTCAGAAGATAAGTAGAAATGTTACTTAACTCTTAAGGAAACTGCTTAGTTGAACAGTTGGTCCTTATTGACATGATCATTTTGGCTGGCCTGAACTAGACTTTAAGTCTGAGTCTCGACAGCTCATGTGTCATTTTTCTGTTCCCAGCTTTTAGCTTTCATGCAGAATGTATATTACTGGAATGGTTTCTGTTACTGGCTGAAGCACTATCAAATGATATTGACAAGGCTTGTAGTCAATCCAGAGCAGTGCTACTAAAGTTTGAAGTGTTTCCATTTCAGTACAAAACCATAGCCATGTCCAAAGGACACTGATGTGTTTTCCAGCGTAATTTTGATTGCTTCATGAGTAGTTTCTAGATTTACATCCTGGGCTTTATTCACATGAGAAGCAAGATTAATCCAACCTTCCATTTCAACATCACACGTTGCATTCACAAAAATTGATTACAGGAATGTTTCCACATTCGGTATGAATTTTCCATCATAAACAGTTATCTTTGACCAATTTTGCAAACTATTCTCGGCATATGCACAAGGTCTGCCTGCCTGTGTGCAAGAAAGCTTGGGAAAGTCATGCAATTGTGGATCTCTCTTTTAATATGGAAGAATCTAAAATGTTCCTGGTGCTCCAGTAATCCAACATTCCATTTTCTTACAGCCTGAGCCATTCTAATGAGCCAAAGTAAAAATCAGAACAGTTCTACATCTGTTTACTTTAGTGTTTTGTGGCTGATGGTAATATACAGGTCAACTGTAAATGACAAAACAGCAATTCTCCTGCTATTGGAGACTAAGAATCCACCCACAAGGTGAGTGTTTATGAACAGAAAATCCCAAGGAGTTACTAACTATAGTACAACAGTGCCTGCTGCTTTGGCCACACCAAAGAATTAAGAACATTCCTGCCTATTTGTTTTGTAAATCGTGCACTTGTCCCTCAATAATTCAAGTTCAAAAAAGGCCCCTGAGTGTTCTTTACGATTTAATTCTTGACAAGATAGCATTGATATCAAGTGTCATGTTTGCACGTCAGTGAAGACTGGTTTTTTTTGCCCTTGCAATAAATCAAAGGTTTGTGAAAATAGTAAAATTAACTGCCTTGTTCGGTAGTATTTCTTTTCTGCAATGGCTTACTGTTCCATCATTGTCATTGATACTGATACAGCAGGAAGGAAGGAAGGAAAACAATATCAATCATGTGTTTATTCCAATAACCAGTCAACCTGAAACGATCATTTGTTCTCTACAAAAATGATTTTTCAAAATGTAGTTATGAGTTACATAACGGAATACCTTCTGATAGGTAGCAATAACTGTGTTACAAGCTCCCAGGATAACAGTCTAACATATATTGTGTCTTTATTGATCTGAGTCTGAGCTGGAATCGGGAGGCACATTAGTGGAGTATTGTATTTGCATTCTAAATAGGTTTCATCGTAGCAAGGCAGCAATGATCTCCACTGTGCTATGTGAGAAAGACATAAAGAAAAATGAGCATTTATAATGTATAGTATTACATCTCAAAGCATTCCATACACAATAGATTACTCTGAAATACAATGATTGTCGCTTCTGCCACATTTAAGGAAACTCCAAGGAAACTCATGGACCTGTTAGAAAGCAACATTTAAATATTATAACACTATTAAATTAATCATAGAGTGACTTGCTTTCCAAATGGTACAGGGACTAGGCCTCGAAGCTCCAGATCTGTTTACATTCCATCCTTGTCAGATGAGATTCATAGGAGATTTCAAATTAAATGGCTATCGGTGAGATCAGCATAATTTCTGCCCAAGAGTCATCCCGGAAATCGCGAGTCAATGATTTCACAAGTGAACATCTTTGAAAATATAGTTTCGCTGAGAGCTTCACTTTAAAAATTCCCAATAGCTTTGTGAGCAGTTGGAGTTTCAGAAATGTTGCAAGTCATGATGGTTTTAATGTTTGTGTTAGCTTTTTGAATAGGGCAAAGATAAATTCAAAACATATTGATGGGCAACTGTGTTAAACTTACTCTGGACTTTCCCCTGATAAATGTGAACTAATTACGCTTAGAAAAAGGAATAGTATGTTGGAAAATATTAAGACTGTGGTGGGGAAGATAGGAATTGCACGTAAAGAGGATTCAGGGAAACAACAGGTTGATCCTGAGGAAGATGGAAGTTGCTGACTTCACTCTGGTCTCCAGGGTGAGGGGTAATACTGTAGTGGGATGTGGGTATAAAGATTTTCAGATGGAATATTTTGCAAACATTATTTGAATATTAATACATTACAACCCTAGAATTTTACTGCATATAACCATGAAAAGTATGTTATGTCTTTAGGTTAAAAAACAATCAGTTGTTTGGATGTTACAATCTATTACTATGACTATAGTTTCTCCTTTGATAAGATCATATTCTTTCAAAGAATAATTTTTTCTTTGTGCTTAGATTAGTTGAGACTACACAACATTGCCGATGACGAACCAGCCTATTAGGATTTCTTCATGACTAATTGATCACAAATGTTACAATTTATGCATTTTTTAATAAATTATGATTGCACATCTATAAGCAGAATCTTCAGGAAAAGATGATAGAACGGAATCACAGGAGGTCTTTCATGATGCTCGGTCCTTTGAACATAAAAGATTTAATATTAAAGATTATATCAGCATTACCGTTTTGGAATTCTTTATGAGAAGAATAAACTCTGCGACCGACAAAGTCAATATTGCCCCAGAAAGCCTCTGGAGAGTTGATGGAAACAGGTAGGTATGCATGGCAAACTTGTTGCAGTTTAAACACTTCAATAGTTTGTTTGCAAGAACAGCCGATTGTCACTTAAGTTAAAAAGAATAATGGTTGTGTGATTTGGCCAAGACTTTCATCATTAACCATATCACAACATAAGTCAGCCATGACCTAATTGAAGAGCAGAACAGGCTGTAAAGGCCAAGACTTGTTCCTGTGGTTAACACAATATTTTTGCCCTGTGAAATCCTCTGTAAATTACTGAGATTAAAAGACCAGTCCATGTTTATTCTGCCAAAGTTCAAAATAAGTGCCTGCATTAGCATGACAGTGTGAAAACATCATGGGCAGAATTTTGAGATAGCAAGAACTGCAGATGCTGGCGTCAGAGTGGAGCTGGAGGAACACAGCAGGCCAGGCAGCATCAGAGGAGCAGGAAAGCTGACGTTTCGGGTCAGAACACTTCTTCATTTCTAAAGCCCCACATTTTGTTATTATGGGCAGGATTTTCCTGTCTATAATGTTCCACATGGATCTGTGTGTCACAGAATGTTAGTCATTGAGGAGAGGGATAACAATGGACAATGCTGGAGCTCTATGCCTCTTGGACAAGCAAGTCATTTTCAGTGGGTTTGAATGGAAAGGAGAGGGGGCGTTTGAGGAGGTCAGGGAAGTTTCCACTTTAAACAGTCTAGACCAGTATTATCACATTAAATGATTCACACTAGCATCATGGTAACTCCCATTTCTTTTATAGCCCTAATGCAGTTGAATGCTTCATGCTGCTTGTGGCTGGAATTAGTTAACGGGCCAAATTGGAGCACAACAGTAATCCTGAAGGCACATCTGGTCATCATCCTCATGGAGATCTTGTGGTGCTTGTGAGTAGCCCTGCTCTGAGCCAGAAGATCTAGGTTAAAGAATTCACTCTCTAATGGCATTGTGCATCTACCAGCAGCACATGGACTACAGCAGTTCAAGAAGACAGCTCACCACCACTATCTGAAGGGCAACTAGGGATGTGCAATTAGTTGGCCAGCCAGCAACACTCATATCCCGTGAGTGAATAGAAGAAAAGTCTACTCCAGGATTTGATGGCCATGGAAGGCTTATTCTGTGACAAAAACAGGATAATTATTACAGATAAGCCAAAGGGGGCATCTGTGGTTACCTAGAAATATTTAAAATTTTACCCAACTTAAAGAAAGAAACATGTAGTTGTGCAAAGACAAGAGGAAAGATGATGATTGGGCAAAATGGAAAGAAGTTGGAAAAAAAGACCAAAAAATTAACAGAAGGAAACATTTGAGTATGAGTGAAAGCTAATCAGAAGTACAAAACAGATAAGAACTGCTTTCAATATTTAAAAAGGAAAAGTGCGAACAGTGGGAGTGTTGGTCTAATAAAAACAATCCTATAGACTGGAGAATTAGCTATGAAAAATCAGGAAATAGCAGATGATATTTTGATGGTCTTTGTGATAGAGGATACAAGTAACATCCCAAAGGCAGAAATAAATCAGGAAATGGAAGAGAAGGAGAATCTCAGGAAAAGTGCCTCTTACCTGAGAAGTAAATTATTTGAGCTGACAAGTGCTCAGGCCATGATGAAATTCACCATAAGTTCTTAAAAGAAATGGCTAGTGAGATAGTTGATGCATTAGCTTAAATTTTCCAAAACTCCCTTGATTTGGGGATTCTTGTACGAGATTCAAAGATCGTGAATGTAACACAATTATTAAAAAAGGAAAGGATACAGAGAAATTTGAGGGGGTACCTGATTAAGCTTTATAATTTTATGAGTGGCATGGACAAGTTATAGAAAATAGCTATTCCCCTTAGTTAAAGGGCTAGTAAAAAAAAAAAGGCATAATTTTAAAGTGGAAGGCAAGAGATTTAGAGAAGATCTGAGGAAAAATGTTTTCACCCAGAAGATTTGGGGGTGTGGAATGCAATGCCTGAGAAGGTAGTTGAGGTGGGAAATCTCACAACCTTTAACAAGGACTTGGATGAACATTTAAGTGTCATAACATTCAATGCTATGGGCCAAGTGCAGGAAAGTAGGACTAGTGTAAATAATAGCATATTTCTGGTGGCACAGACTTGATGGGCAGAAGGGCCACTTCTGAACTGTTTTATTCTATAATTCTATAATAATCAGGAAGAGTCAACATGCTTTTGAGAAAGGGAGATCATAT